AGCACACTTTCCCATCACGTGGCAGTCCCACCTACCACTCATTCCTTGGGAAGCTCAGCTAAGCCCGGGGTAAGCTACAGAGATCCTAACAAGGGCATCCTCATGGGTTACACATGTGTAGAGAGTGAGCTCTCTGATGGCACCACATGGTGAATGCTGAATAACAATAATCTTGCAAGGTAGAAGAAACCCTGCAACGCCCAGCCTGGTTACCAACTCCATGCTTCCTTGACAATTCAGTAACATCCAGAGCAATATTTACCAGGCTCTGCTGATAATCTGCTCCCATGTTTGTTTCCCTAAGCAGACATGACTCCCCTCCCTCCATCTGTTCTTCAGTTCCAGAAGATCACACAGCATCTCCTTCTGGGCTGAATTCATAGAGGCTCAAGACTTCTGGCAAGAGAAGACCTCCAAGGCTCAGCAGGGTCATTTTAAAGCCAAGCCCCATACCACTGGATTCTCCCACACTGCCTTAGCACAAAGTGGGAAGAGCTCTGGGTTTGGAGTAAAACATTGGGAAAGTCCTTTCTGCTCTGAGCCTCTTTTCCCTTGTAAACAAGGGGGTTGAATGAGATGGTACTCAGATCCCTTCTAACCTGAATAGTCTGTGGCTAGCTGCATATGGATGAAACAAAATAAATCCAATCCACATGCAGCCATGATGGACGCCTGAGCAGGTGCTCTCTTCCCCTGCCCCCTTGGAAATTAATCATGGGATGTCCCTTTTTCATGGGATCACGGCCCCATACACTTATTTTTCCAAATCTCCTTGGTATCGGTAGGTAAAAGTGATGCAGAGTTTCGGGGCTGTGGACAGCAGATGTTTTCCTTCAACAGGAAACCTGGAGGGGTGTTGTCTTTGACTGTGATTAAAGCTTCTGTTGCCTGAGGAGTTTTTATAGAGCCATAAACACAGATGGTCCAGTTATTCTGACACTAAAAACCCCTCACAACAGCATCTTCCCTGTGTGGACATGTGAGATAAAAGTGGTAAGGCCAAGCTTCCCTCTGTTACATCCTAGGCTTGCTCTGAGCAAAAGATGTGCCCTGGGATTTCTGGTGGGGGCGATGTCTTGCAAACGGAATCATAAAAAAAAAAAAAAAAAAGAAAACGAGCTGTAGTTGGGAAAAGAGAAAAACAACCATCTTCCTAATGTTGGTCACTTTATAACCTTGAGAATTTTCTGTCCTGAATTTCTTCAAGTGGGTCTGGAGGGAGCCTACCGTTCCCTAGAGGGTAGGATGGTATAAATAGCATCGCTATCCTCTGACTTGATCCTGAGTGTCCATGGGATCCTGCCTGTGTAAAATTCCCATTCTTGGCCCCCATTTCCCAGTCTATAATGCAAACACCTGACCCCTTGGAGCAGTGCACCATGGTGGGCAAGGCAGCTGTGGAGCCAGAGAGCTGGGTTCCAATCCAAGCTCTGAGACGTAGAGCTGTGGGATCTGAGGTAAGTAGTTGACATGTTTCAGTCTCACTTTCTTTATCTGAAAATGGGGAGAATAATATACCAGCGAAGCACTGCTTCCTCTCACCCCTGGGGTACATGTGGAGGGCAGATCAGGGAATGTTCCCTCTTCCTAGATGGGGGTACTCTGGTCCCTCCCTTACATAAAGAGCAGGCCCTGGAAGGTTCTCTCCCCTCCACATCCAAAAGGGAGAGGTGATTCTAGAGGCCTAAAGCCCCAGGAAGAGAAGCAGATGCTTTGGGTAGATGTGACATATGACTCATTAAAGTGACCAATTAGGTGACAATGTTGAAACACTGACAACTAGAGTATTCTATTCAGGCTGATCCTCATGTATCTCCCTCAGGTTCAGCAGGGTGCCTGACACCCACTAAACACTCAATACACTTTTATTAAATAAGGCAAAGTATTCACAAAATAATCTGTCAAAAATTAGAACAAAATCACAATATGATTACACCTAGGTAATAACCACCTCTATGTATAGGCACAGAAAAATATTTGAAAGAAACACAAGTGCAGCACTGTGGGAGAAATGCCATTTCCTTTCTCTTTTAAAATTTTGAATAATGTTCTAAATTTATTTTAGTAATAAAAAATTCTAAAAATCAAGAAATGATCTTTACTTATAAAGCAGTGGAAACTGGGGCACAGGTGTAATGTGGGGAGAGGAGCAGAAACTTGGATTTGAATCCCAGTCCTGCCACTTCTAGCAGATCTTTTTGGGCAAATGAAACTCTCTGGGCCTCATTCCCATGCTATAAAAAAAGAGGGTAATAACAGAAGCTCAACTCACAGGGTTATTGTAAGGCTTAAACTGAGTGGTCCACGAAAAAGGGCCTGACCCACAATTACTGCTACAGTCATTTTTTCTGGTGGGTTTGTTTTAAGTTAGAGCCAGCTCTGAACTTCAGCATATCATTGCTGAGTGCTGGACCTTCAATGATAAAGGATCCCTCCCAGTGCACCAGGGCAGCCAGCACCCTTCCAGTGGATGCAGTGGCCTCAGAATAAAACTCATTCTGTTCCAATTCTTGTCTAAGGTCTGCTTTTAAAAGGAATAAAGGTCTCAATTAAATCCAGCTGGAACACAGCAGGAGGTGTTGGAGAGGAAGAATAAAACAAAGTTTGTGGCGCTCATCCAGGCTTGCAAAGAAGCATTCTTTGAGGCCAAAAGACAATTTCAGCAAAACTCAGATATCTGGCTGGTGGAAGGGCACCACTGTGCAGAGCAAAACTTGAAGACTGGTTTTGATGAGCAGCTGTAAAGCATGTATCCCCATCCAACCTCCTGTCTCCTGAACTGGTGAGGAGACACTTGGAGACCAAGTGGTTTTAGAGGTTGCAGGATGCTCAGTACTTCTGGTCTTGTCTCTCAATGTACTGAAGGGGGAATTAAGTCTAAGGAGGTGCAGTGACTTATCTGGCTCATCATGTTACTGAAACCAAGGTCCCTGGCTCATCATGGTATTAGGAACTAAGGTCCCAATCCAATACTTTTCCCACTTTCTTGCCTTTCCTCATCTCACTCCCACCCTCAGGATTTCCCAGATGTTAGGCAAGGCCTGCCCAGTGTTCCATCATTGGATCATATCTGCAGATGAAGCCTGAATAAGCATCATTCTTTACTAGGATCTATAGTGCTTGCTCTTGTTTGAAATGGGGACGCATGGGCCGGGCGCAGTGGCTCACATCTGTAATCCCAGCTCTTTGGAAAGTAGAGGCAAGCAGATCACTTGAGGTCACGAATTTGAGACTAGCCTGACCAACATGGTGAAATCCCATCTCTACTAAAAATACAAAAATTAGCTGGGTGTGGTGGTGCATGCTTGTAATCCCAGCTACCCGGAAGGCAGAGACAGGAGAACTGCTTGAATCCAGGAGGCAGAGGTTTCAGTGAGCAGAGATCAAGCCACTGCACTCCAGCCTGGGCAATAGAGAAAGAGTCTGTCTTAAACAATAAAATAACAAAGAAATGGGGATGCATGGTATCTAGGGAAGAGGAAGGCCATGTAAAGAGTCTTGGCAAATTTTCTTAAGAGAGATCACTGCAGAATGCAAATAAGTATAACTTTTTTGATAATGTGAATCAAAAATTTAAAAAATAATCATTCCTTTTGCTTCAATACTTAAATTTCTAGAAATTTATCCTAAGGAAATACTCAGAGATAGGGATGAAGACTCATCTGCAAAAATGGGTGTCAGAGCACAATTTATATTTGAAAAAAACTAGAAACAACCTAAGTGTCCAACTGTGGGGTTTTCTTTTGTAAATTATGATAAACCAGGCAGCTATTAAACTAACATTGTGGAAGAATGGTTAATGACCTGGAAGAAAAATCATGACAGATAATTAAATTTGAAAAAGAAATATAAAATATGGCATATATAATAAGAACCCAACTTTTATTTTATAAGTGCTTTGGGAAAATAAAGGCTGGGAGAAAATATACCAATTTGTAAACAATGATTAGTGCTTGTTGTGTGAATGATGTTTTAACACTTCTCTGAATTTTCTCGATTTTTTGTTTTTGTTTTTGAGACAGAGTCTTGCTCTGTCACCCAGGCTGGAGTGCAGTGGTACAATCTTGGCTCAGTGCAATTTCTGCCACCCAGGTTCAAGCGATTCTCCCGCCTCAACCTCCCAAGTAGCTGGGATTACAGGCATGTGCCACCACGCCCAGCTAATTTTTATATTTTTAGTAGAGACAGTGTTTCACTATGTTGGCCAGGCTGGTCTTAAGCTCCTGGCCTCAGGTGATCCTGCCCAGCTTGGCCTCCCAAAGTGCTGGGATTATAGGCATGAGTGACTGTACCCGGCCTCAATTTTTAAAAGATGAACGTGCACTGATCTCAAAGATAAATGTCATTAAGAGGGAATTCTTGGATATTTTTTCATGGTTTCTGACACAGAGATGGAGCTGCAAATCACAGATATGCCCATGGTGGTTCCCAGAGCAGAAAAACTCTTGGTTGGGGTTTGAGCTCCTTAAACCACAACCTGTTAGGAATCCTGCAGGTGGATCTCACTTACAGCTTGTCCCAGTTTCTTTCACTGGGTTTACAGGACACTGATCTGCCTGATCAGACATTTCAGCCCCTGGTCCTGGTGCTTTGAATTCTAATCCTTCCACTGGGGCAGCTTCCCTTGAGAATGCTAAAAAACACAGCCCCGTGGTCACACCCACCTCAAGGGAAATAGAAACTGCATGGGGTAATGGAAGTTAGGGAGGGAGGAAGGAAGCCCAAGCATGGAAGCATCTGTGGGCACAGAGGGCCTCATAGAGGTAGAGGAGCAAGGGGATCCAGGAGTGGAAGAGGGAACAGAATGGAGCTAGAGGTGGGCAACTAGGGAAGAAGGTCCTCTACTCCACAACTGTATAGGGGGAGTGCCCTGGTCAGGGGGATGCCAAGAAAGAAATGGCCCATTGCTATGTAGATATAATCACCCACAAACATGCTCCTCACCCCATCCCAGTTGCCACCTTCCGGCCCCAGAGCTTCTGGCCCGGGCAGCGGGTTACCTCATTGTTGGTGCCAACGTCCAGCAGCACAGGGAGGCACTGCTGTGGGTTCACCCCTCCACATGCTGTGTACAGGGCCAGCTTGCCCACAGGGATGCCCATGCCATAGCAGCCCAGGTCTCCCAGGCCCAGGATGCGCTCCCCATCAGTCACCACCACGGCCTGAAATCATCAGGGAAATCAATCAGAGACAGTACTTCCTGCGACAGAGTGCTCATTTTAGCAGCCCGGGCACATCAGGCTTGACGACTGGATGCCCACTGACTTTGCCAGGGTGAAACAGCTTGTCTTGGATAAGGCCAGAGCATTCATTCACCTTCAGGTGACCAGTCCTTCCTGGCAGGCTGGTGAGAAACCCCACTGAGAGGATATGACAGAAAGATGCCTGCCCTACATTCTGAGGTTCAGGTGGGGGCTGCAGAAACAGCTGGAAGGAAACCACATCGAGTCACTTTATTCTCCCTCAAGGAAACTCAACAGACACTCCCAGCCTGAGAACTTGGGGTAGTGGAGAGGAAAGGGCATAATTAAGGGAGAAAATGAAAAATAAGTGTTCGTGCTGCTGCTACAGCTCTCGAGTTTAGAGACCAATCTAAGTAGTTTCCAACCTACTCCTGGAGTACAAAAAATCCAATTTGCAAAGAACAGGGCTCCTTGTGACATCTTCTAGGATCACTACTTCATATGAAGTCAGGAAGAGTCTCAAGCTGCACTGGGATTTACCTTTTGCATTTGGCAAAGAATTGCTGAGGGCCTACTATGTACTAGATGTAGTGCTAGTTCAAGGCTTACCTACTGTGAATTAATAGATGTGAATGAAGCTGATGATGATTATTGGAATAATTGTATTATTATAATGGATATACTTTTATTCATTCATTTAACACACATTTATGAGGCACCTACTTTGCATAAGACACTGTGGCAGCTTCTAGGGGAGGGAGCTTCAGTTTGCACATCTACAAAAACAAAAATGCATGGACCCAGCCCTTAAAGGATTAATGGGCCAAAGGAGAGATGGAATATGTATATTAATAATTGTGATTCTGAGAGGGAAGCTGGACTATAGCAGAATAGCATGAAGACTAGCAGAGATTAGAAGATGGGAGGTTAACCCTTCATGGGTGAAGGGACGCATATGCCATACCTTGGACAGGTGAAGATTGTGGGGTATGGATGGGTGAGGAGAAGGGCATTTGATGCAAAGGAAAGTTAAAATCTAGGTTATAGACGCTGGGGGTAGGGGGAATGTAGGGTGTGTGTGAGGAATGAGAAGGTGTAGGTTGCAGGAAAGGAAATAATGAAAAGTCAGGCAGGAGTCAGACTGTGAAAGGCCTTAAATATTGGCCCAGGAGAGTCCCTCAGGGTAAGGGTGAAGTTGTTTATAGCCCACTCCCACCTGCTCACCAGCACTAGCTCTCTCCATCTTTAAAGGAGTTAAGTTTATAGGTCCCTGATCCCTTCATTGGAACCTGGCTTTGGATCTGCTCTGGGCTACAGATGTTCTGATTGGCCATGGGCACCATAGGGTTTGGTTAAATCTGTGAAGGTATATTTCTGGGCACTGGGGATAAAGAGATGAAGACCCATTCTCACCCTGGAAGAGTTCATGATCTGGTACCCAAAGGGCTTATGGTATCTTCTCACTTCTATTCCTCTTTTAGTGGAAATAGGTGGAGAGATTCTTAAAAATACTCCTCTGCTTCTGAAAAGGAGTCTCTGGAGGGTGCAAGAGATCCATGAAAATCATGATATTCTCCCTTAGATTGGTCTACTGCCTCTGGAGAGTGCTCACAGACTGCATCTCATGTGATCCTACCCCATACCCTGGGCAGGTAGGTGGGTCTGAGATTGCTATCTCTGCTTCACAGGTAAGCAAACAGAAGCTCAAGACCTTTATTTTCTCTATATATTTGTTAAGTATCAGCCACATACCAGGCACTAGGCTGGTTGTTTCCACATCAGTTATCTTAAATGATTAGATGACTTAGCAAGGTCATCTTGCTAGTGTATGTAGCAGGCCAGGGTTCCAGTCAGGGTTCCTGGTTCAGGGCTCCTTCTACCACCCCAACTGGCTGGGCTAAAGTGCCTATGCTCTTGGCAAAGTCCTGCTCTGCTTTGGCATCACCCTTTCTGCAGTCTACATCTGACCTCCTGTTGGTAGCTCTCCCTGTTGGAGACTATGCCCTCATGCTGCACCTGGGTGTGCAGACTCTAGGCATTTCTCTATCATCTCTCCCAATTAAACCTTCCTTATTATGGTTCTCATACTCTCAGAATCCTTCTCCATGCTGAAGAGGCAGTAAGTGACGAAGTTAAACAGAGGAAATCTGCTAGTCCAGACTGTTATCCCCACAACCCTAGAATGGTGACAGGGCTCTGCAGTGCCACTCTCCCAGGCTGGACATGCCCCAGGGCACTCTACTGCATGAACAACTCCTCTGAGCGACTGTCTCACCTCTATCTACTGTCTGTCCACATTCCTACCATGCTTATAGTTGAGTTACTGCAACAGTTTCACAACCAGACTGCTTGCCTCTCATCTTCCTCCCTTCCATTCTCTCCTGCCAACCAGTGTCAGATTCATTGTGTCAAAAGCCCATTTTCATTATGCCATTCCCAGGCTCAAAGACCATTAGTGACTTTGAGCAGTCCATAGAACAGAGTCCAAAATACTTAACTCTTCAATGATCTGAATCCAACAGACCTTCTGAAACGTATCTCCTGCTACACATCTGTACACAATTGCCTTCTCTGGCCATAGTAGCCTTTTCATTCTTCCCAGACACATTCTAAATCTGCCTACCACCTCTCCCTCTCAATCTCTCTATTCCTTTCTTCTGAAGGGTACTCTTACCCATTCTTCAGCAGCATAAATCTTGCTCATTACAATCTACTGAAATTTCTTCTTCCCCTGAATTGCTGTATTTACCACACATGGTTCTTGTCTGCGTTTTACAAACATGTATTAAGGACCCACTGCCTGCCAAGACCTGCAAAAGGTGCTATTTAAACCTTTGATGGTGAAAGCATCTGGGTTGTTATTTAACATTGTTTTATAAGGCACATTTTATCTCACCAAACAGCCTTAGTGGCTAATGGCTGGGGCTTTGGAGTCTGGTAACCAGTTTCTGAATGTAGGATCCTTGATAGTGTGCCATATGTAATTTTGGATAAATAGATAACTTTTCTGAACTTCAATTCTCCATAAAATGGGTATAATAATACTACTACTTAACTCATTAGGTTGTTGTAATGATTAAATGAAATAACATATGTCTTATTTTAACTTGGTGCCTTGTATAAAGTAAGAATGATGAACAAATGGTTGCTGCTCTTATGATTGTAATGGTGATGATTATTTAGGGCAGAGATTGTATCTTAGACTTTGAAATTCTTTCTGATCTCTCCAGTGTAGCATTAACCATACAATTATTATCTGTTAAATGAATGAATGAAAAAGAAACCAAGGGGAGACTTTGGCAAATGCAACATTTAAGAAAGTCTGGCCATGCGAAGCTTAACAGCTATAATCTTGGCATCCTCATCCACTGCTATGGCTCCTACTGTCCTAAGTGGATGACACCTGTAGCTAACTGTCTGCTGGACATTGCCACTCAAATGTCCAATAGTCTTCCCAATTCCCACAAGTCCCTAACCAAATGAATCTTCTTTCCCCTCTTACTCTTTTTGAGCCTTTTTACTCTGCTGTTCTCCTGCTCTCTGTTACCCTATATCTTCCAAGTTGAAAAACATCCAGTCTTTTTTGATTATTCTGTGTTGGTCAACCAAAGCCCATAGGTCACCAAGTTCTGCTGATGGTGCCTGCTCCTTATTTTAAACATCTGCTCCATTATCTTCATATTATTGCTACTGCCTTGGATCAGATCATTCATCTTCACTTGAGACACCGCAGTGTTCTCCTGAGTGGTCTCTCTACTAGATTTTCCCCATTCCATCTCATTTTTCCACAGCACATCCAGATGTATTACTTTCTTGCCCACAAATCTCTAGTGGTTCCTGATGCCTGTACAATAAAGCCCAAACATCTTAGACTGGCACTTAAAGCCTTCCATGGGCCAGGCACAATCTGCCTTTTGAATTTCCACTTTATTATCTCCATACTCTATCCAAACTGAAATACTTCCAATTTTGCACAAGGCTCATACGTTCTTACATACATGCCATCTCACTTCTCAATTTCTTTATCTCCTTGATACAGATTTTACCACCCTTGAATTTTTCAAGGAACAGTTCAAAAAGCACTTCCCTCCATGCAGCTTCCCTTCTGAATTTTATCACTTCCTTCTCTGAATTCCCATAGCATTTTCCTTACCTATGAAACCTATCACTCTCTTCCTTGTATTATATTTATGTACATTTCCTTGTGTTTCATAGTAGCTTGAAGCTCTTCTGGGGCCAGTAATGGGTTATGTCATCTTTGATTCATCAGCACTTAACTCAGTGCCTATAATGTGACAGGCACTCACAAATAGTGGGCAATGCGATAGATCCAACAGAGAGAATGAAGTGTCTTCTACACTGAACAGAGTTCGGACCTGCTGTGGATCAACAAGTTCAGAGAGAAGACACCACACCCTGTTTTTCATGACATCAATAGACCCCATGCTGGGAGCCACTAGTTCTGTATACTGTCAAAAGGCTGAAGGCAAACCTAGGCAGCATCCTTAGTTCTAAAGCCAAGCAACCTTTTCCAGAACAATAAAATCACATTTTCCTCGTTTGGAAGAGTTTTATAATTCATAACTCCCCTGTCTCTCTGATGACTCGGGGGAAGTTTGAAGGATGGTGTGCCACATTCTTTCTTTGCCCACCTGCCTCAGACCTAAGGCCTTTTCTGAATTATTGCCCACATCCTTTAGCTTGGGTGGACCCAGTGGGACTGACCCAAGACTGACCTGAGGATCAAATATTCTTGCCTGCTCTGGAGCTTCCTTGGACTTGTAGCTATAGTCATAGGCTGCCCACAGCACTGTTTATACAACCCTCTTCTTCCTCTTCCTTTTGTTTCATCCTTCCTTCTCATCTTTCCTTTTATCCTCCTCCTCATCATCTTCTTCCTCTTCTCCCTCTCTCTCTTTCCACAACAAAAATAATGCACACTTCTTAGTTTCAAATCTTGGTTCCATTCCTCCCTTGCA